TTCACTTGAAGCCTCATTCTTACAACAGAAGGTTGTCAGGCTCAACCCTAAACCCTAAACCCTAAACCCTAAACCCTAAACCCTAGAAACGCCGCAGGGCGTTTAGGGCTCAAACATCCTCGGCTTCTGAAGCCCCGAATTAGGACTTTAAATAAATATAAATATCCATAAACCCTAAACCCTAAACCCTAAACCCTTGCTCGATGCATGCGCTCCCGCTAGTCCCGTCGGCTGCAGCCCCCCACAGAAGAGTAAACCCTAGCCTCAAAACCCTAAACCCTAAACCCTAAACCCTAAACCCTCAACTCGAAACCCTAAATCCAAAACCTTAAACTCAAAACTCAAAACCCTAAACAACAAACTCAAAACCCTAAACCCTAAACCCTAAACCCTAAACCCTAAACCCTTTATGCATGCTGGTTTCCATCATACCCAGGTCAGTTGGTACTGTGTAGGGTTTAGGGTTTAGGGTTTAGGGTTTAGGGTTTATGGTGAGTTGTTAGCTGAAATGCCGCGACGTCTCCCGGCTGTATAACCCAAACCCTAAACCCTAAACCCTAAACCCTAAACCCTCAAAAAGAGAACGGTATCGACTCGAAAATGAAGGCGCTGGAGAGGGTTGCTGCAGCAACCCTCGTTGCAGGTCAGCTAAACCCTAAACCCTAAACCCTAAACCCTCAGCATTCAGGCCTTGAGTCCGCGAAGGCAACAACGACAGCAGCAGCAGCAGCAGCAGCAGCAGCAGCAGCAGCAGCAGGAGTGTGTTGTGTGCGTTGCAGCCCCGGCAGCCTTCCTTCTGTTCACTAACAAGCAGCAGCAGCAGCAGCAGCAGCAGAAGCAGCAGCAGCAGCAGCAGAAGTTCAGCTGCTGGAGGAACCGCGCCTTCTCCTCTGTCGCTCTTTGCGCAGAGCAGCAGCAGCAGCAGCAGCAGCAGCAGCAGCAGCAGCAGCAGCGGCAGCAGCAGCAGAAGCAGCAGCAAAAGCAGCAAATATTCATCTGGGGCAGCCGCCTGTCTTTCCCTGGCGGAGCTCCTTCTGATATCCAAACCCCTACTGAGGCAAAAGCACTCGACGGTGAGGGTTTAGGGTTTAGGGTTTAGGGTTTAGGGTTTAGGGTTTAGGGTTTTGAGGAGAGGAGCTAGGGCATCGGTTACATTTGTTCGTGTTTCTGATTTCTAGCCATCGATTAGGGTTTAGGGTTTAGGGTTTAGGGTTTGCACCCGCCTCCGTCACTGCCGTTGCCGTAATTAGGGTTTGAGGGTTTAGGGTTTAGGGTTTAGGGTTTAGGGTTTAGGGTTTGTGTTTTTCAGGTTTTGCTTCGAGCTGGCTCGCGCTATCCTTCGGCCCTCACTTTGCTGCTGCTCTGCCCGCCGACGGCCGCTGCTGCGTTGTGTGGGGGTCGCTGCAGCAGCAAGACAACGAACCAGGTTTGCTGCTGCTGCTGCTGCTGCTGCTGCTGCTGCTATTGCTGCTGCTGCTATTGCTGCTGCTGCTATTGCTGCTGCTGCTGCTTTTGTTAATGTTGCTGCTATTGCTGCTGCTGCTGCTATTGCTGCTGCTGCTATTGCTGCTGCTGCTATTGCTGCTGCTGCTATCGCTAATGCTGCTGCTGCTGTTGCTGCTGCTGCTGCTGTTGCTGCTACTTTCGGTGCTGCTGTTGTTGCTGCTGCGATATACTGGCTGTGTGGGGTTTCAGCAGCAACAGCAGCAGCAGCAGCTGCTGCTGCTGCAATGCTGCTGCTTCTGCTGCTTCTTCGTGCATATTATCCTGCTTGTTAGTGCTGCTGCTGCTGCTGCTGCTGCTGCTGTTGCTGCTGCTGCTGCAGTGTTTGTGTCTCCTTTCGTGCTGCAGCTGCCTCCAGGTGCAGCAGCAGCAGCAGATGTTCAATGCTCAGCAGCAGAAATATTTGTATTAGACAAAGACGGCCGCATTTTCGTCATCGACGACGTGCTGCTGCTGCTGATGTTGCTGCTGCTGCTGCTGCTGCTGCTGCTGCTGTTGCTGATGTTGCTGCTGCTGCTGTTATTTCTGCTGAAACAGGTTTGCTGCTGTTGCTGCTGCTGTTGCTGCTGCCGTTGCTGCTGTCATTTATGCTGCTATTGCTGCTGCGGTTGTTGCTGCAGTTGCTGCTGCTGTTGCTGCTGCTGCTATTGATGCTGCTGTTGTTGCTTCTATTGTTGCTGCAGTTGCTGCTGCTACTGCTGCTGCTGCTGCTGCTGCACTGCCGGGAGGTGCGGAGCAGCGGCTGCTCCTTGCATGCACTGTGTTGTTATTGCTGCTGCTGCTGTTGCTGCTGCTGCTGCTGCTGCTGCTGCTGCTGCTGCTGCTGCTGCTGTTGCTG